AGCAGTCGAGGGGCAGCGGTCGTGAGCATCACGGATCGTCCTGGGGCAGAGAGCTTCACACAGCATTGCAGGGCGGCAGAGGTCATGCAATGGAGGCCAGGCTAGGCCTAGGGACCCTACTTGCACACGATTTCGTGCGCTGGGTCTCTAGTGTAAGAATAATTGAAAACAAGCCAGTGTTACTAGGTTATAGCGAACACTGGATCTAGTGGCATAAAATGAATTCAGAGAATGGAAAGCAAGTTAATTCTTCAGGGCTTTTAGATGAAGTTAAATGAATTTGGTTTTTGTTGAAATTATTATGGGGAGCCATGAAAAAATTTTAAAGTTGAGGATCTCATTTGTATTTTTAAAAGATTTCTTTGATTACTGTGAGGAGAAAGAACAACAGAGGATGGGAATGGGAGGTGGGAGATCAAATTAGGTTATTTTTAAAACCTGTTCAGGTAAGTTGGTAAGATAAACTGAACCACAGGGGTGGCAGTAGAGTTGGAGAAGATCTAGATAATTATGAAATATATTTCAGAGATATAATCAGTAGACCTTATTAAGGGATTTTAGGTAAGTAACTTTTGGCTATAGCTGATGGATAATTTTGATGTGCTATTTTTTCTCAGATGGAAAAGACAGGAAGGAATAGATTTTAGACCAAACATTAAGAATAACAGAGCAGAATGGTGATTACCAGGGGCTAGAACAGCAGTCACCAACCAGTGGTCTGTGGACCACTGGTGGTCCATGAGGTCCGAAAGGTTGGCAACTGCTGGGCTAGAGGGTGGGGGAATTGAGAAGATGTTGGGCAAAGGATTCAAACTTGCAGTTAGAAGATGATCATAATCATCTCTAAGTTCTGGAGATTTAATACACAGCATTGTGATTATAGTTAATATTATGATTATAATTTAGTGTTCAAAGTTCTTAAGGAACTAGATCCTTTTTTTTTTATGAGATCATATCTTAAATGTTATCACCACAAAAAAGAAATGATAGTTATATGACTTGATGGAGATGTTAAAACTACTACGGTGGAAATCATATTGCAACATAAATGTATTGAATCAACATGTTTACACCTTATACTATGTTATATGTCAGTTATAACTTAGTTCAAAAAATATTTTAAAATGCATTTTAAAACAAAAACAAAATAGCTTGAGCTATAACATCATATAGTGAGTTACATAGTATATAAATCTAAAGTGTATGGATTTCTTTCATGCCCCTTCCCTGCTCATTCTCCCTCTCCCAGAGGTAACCACTATTCTACCTTTTTGTCCTAAATTTTACTTGTTATTAAATTTCAGATAAATGGAAGTATGCAGTATATACATTTGTGTCTGTGATGATTCATTCATATTATCGTATAGGTTGAAAGTAGGATGGGAAACAGATATACTATGCAAACCCCAACTAAAAGAGGTGGTATATTTACATTATTATTTGACAAAGTAGACGTTAAGGCAAGAAGTATTATTAGAGATAAAGTGTCACATTTTATAACCAATAAAAGGGGCCAGTTCAACAGGAAGACATAATCATCAAAAGTTATCCTATATAATAAAAGGCTAATATGCAAATTAACCGAATGGCGGAACAGCCGGTTGCTATGACGTGCACTGACCACCAGGGAGTACATGTTCAACACAGTAGCTGCCTCCTGGTGGTCAGTGCGCTCCCACAGGGGGAGTGCCACTCAGCCAGAAGCCGAGCTCATGGCTGGCCAGCACAGCATTAGTGGCAGGAGCCTCTCCCGCCTCTGCAGCAGTGCTAAGGATGTCCAACTGACAGCTTAGGCCAGCTCCCCACACAGGCCTAAGCCGTCAGTTAGACATACCATGAAGGCTCCTGGACTGTGAGAGGGCACAGGCAAGCTGAGGAAACCCCCCACCCCCACCCAGTGCACTAATTTCGTGCACCGGGCCTCTAGTATTACTATTTGACTTCATTTCAATATACACTGAGTGGCCAGATTATTATGACCACATGGCGTTTGTAGGCAAATTAGCTATAATTTCACGCTGAAGTTGCTAGAGGGCCAGACCATTATAAATAGGGAAGCAGGTTGTTTACCACAACAGTAGAAGTGATTTTTTTTTCTGAAGATATGGGTAAACAACACGATTTAACAGCCTTTGAACATGGGATATATGTTATTATGAGTGGCCAGATTATTATGACCACCCCATCAGTACTTTGTTGGGCTACCTTTTGCCTTCAATACTGCGGCGATTCTTTTTGTCATTGACTCCACGAGATGTTGAAAGGTGATGCGAGGAATCTGACACCATGCCTGATGAATAGCACTGTCCAATTCTGTGAGATTTGATGGTTGTGGAACCAGCTGCCTGATGGCTCTTTCAACTTCATCCCACAAATGCGCAATTGGATTAAGATCTGGTGATTGTGGGGGCCACCTAAGCAAGGTAAAGTCTCCCTCATGTTCTTGAAACCACTCCTGCACAATATGAGCACCATGGCATGGCGCATTGTCTTATTGGAAGAAGCCATCTCCATTGGGATATGCCATCAACATGATAGGATGAATTTGATCGGCAATGATACTTAGGTATGTTGTGCTATTCAGACGTTGTTCCACACGAATTAATCATGCCAGGAAAACATGCCCCAAACCATAACACTGCCCCCACCAGCTTGAAGGGTTGTACTCATGCATGTGGGGTGCATGTTTTCATGCTGTTTCCGCCAAATTCTCACTCTGCCATCTGCATGATGCAACTGGAAACGTGATTCATCAGACCACATGACTTTTTTCCAATGCTCGACTGTCCAATCCTTGTGTTCCTGTGCGAATTGGAGACGTTTTATCTTGGTAACTGCAGACAGCAAAGGTGTTCGAACAGGCCTTTGGCTTCCATATCCCATACGATGCAGTGTACGGCTAATTTGCCTACAAACGTCAGGTGGTCATAATAATCTGGCCACTCAGTGTGTGTGTGTGTGTGTGTGTGTGTGTGTGTGTGTGTATCCCACGTTCAAAGGCTGTTAAATAGCGTTGTTTACCCATATCTTCAGAAAAAAATCACTTCTACTGTGGTGGTAAACAACCTGCTTCCCTATTTATAATGGTCTGGCCCTCTAGCAACTTCA